CATCCTCCCATGTCATAAAGATATCATCATGTTTTCTTTTAAAGCATTCATGATTTTAGTTTTTATGTTTAAGCCCATAATGCATCTTGCATTCATTTTTGTGTATGGTGTGAAATCAAGGTTGAAATGTTTTTCCCATTTTGAGATTCATTTATTATAATGCCCTTTGTACTCTCCTTCCTCCATTGGATTGCTTTAGAACTTTTGTCAAAAGTAGAATGATTTGTGTGGGTAATTTCTGAGTTCTATCTTCTGTTTGGTTTTACAGTTTATCTCTGCTATACCATGATGTCTTAATAATTTTAGCTTTGTAATAAATCTTGTAGTCAGTTTAAGTCCCTCAACTTTTTAGTTTATTTTGAAATTGCTTTGGGTGCTTTGTGTTTCCACATCCATGTTAATTTTTAAATAGTTTATGATTTGGGAATAACTAACATTTTAACAATATTGAGTCTTCCAGTCCATGAACATGGTATATATCCTTATTTAATTAGGTCTTTAATTTTTCTCATCCATGGTTTGTAGTTTTGAGTGAAGAAAATTTGTCTATATCTTTTGTTAAGTTCATTCCTAAGTGTTTTCTCTCCTTTTCTTGTTGCTGTTGTAAATAGAATTGTGTTTTAAAATTGTGTTTTCTGACTTATTTTGCTGCTACACCATGCTCACTGATATCCAGTTAATTGCTGCTAGCTTACAAAAACCCAAGCATGAGATCTTTGTGGATTATGCCTGTATCCTTTGACCTTACTAAGTTTACATAGTACTTGTAGCAGTTGTTTTGTGGAGCTATAGGATTTTTACATTATCTGCATGCAGACCAGTTCATGCTTTCCTTTTCCAATTGTTTTTCTGTTGATTTCTTTCCATTGTTTTCGTTGGAATGGCTAAGACCTCTAATACATTGTTTACTTTCATTGGTATAGATGGGAATCATGCCTTTCAGCAAGCAAGGTTGTGTTATCTGCCTATCACAGATTGTTAGCAAACCTTCCTGCAATCCTAATGCCAAATTCTTCTTCTTGGAATATCTGTTTAGCACACAGATTGAGGGGATCCAACCCTGATGCACACTTATATAGGACATAAAGTTTCACATTCTTTTCCCTTTTGGTACCAAGCTTTTCCTTTAAAATGTTCTTTTTTCTCTTTCTTTTTATTATTATTTTTAAATTAAAAGATCATTTTATTGGGGAGGTCTTACAGCGTTGATAACAATCCATACATCAATTGTATCAAGCACATATACACATATGTTGCCATCATTAATTTCTAAATATTTACGTTCTACTTCCTCTTTTTCCCCCCCCTCCTCCCCCACCCTCGTGACCCCTTGATAAATTAAAAATTATTGTTATTTTCATATCTTACACTAACCGCTGCCTCCCTTCCCCCACAGTTTCTGTTCGTCTCCCTGGGAGGAAGGGGGTGTGGTTATGTGTCCATCATTGTGATCGGTTCCCCCTTCCTTCTCCTTTCTTTTTATAACAGTACCAAGTAAAGCCTAATTCGTAGCTTGTGTGGATGTCATGACTTTACCAAAGAAACTACCATCGTTCTATATTTTCCTGAGCACCCTGTGTTGACTCTTATTTTGATTATGGTGTGACGTGAAATTCACAAGCCTGAAATCTATAAGCTCATATCCTCTGCTTTTACACAACTGTAAAGACAACATACGCATGAATTAAGTAGGAACAAAACTCTGGGGGTGGGGGTGGGGGAATGAAATGCAAGCTAATAACATTAACACACAGGATGAGATTGTTTTGCTGAAAGGCACTTGGTGCCTCCACTCTGAATGTGGCCCTCTTGGTTCAGCGTGGGTTCTTTTGAGTACTATTGGCAGGTTTACACGAGCTAATGTTACTGGGTGGCATGTGATGGCTTAATTCTTCTGCCATTTTTCTCGCTTTGAACTGGCATGAATTGTTGCTCACAGATCACTGTCTAAATCATGTAAGAAGTAAGTCCCCCCTGTGCCTCTGTTCTTTCTGTTCACCCAGAGATCGGAGAGGACCAGTTGACACCACTGACCATGTAAATGCAGGGAGAGAAACTGTGTTTGTTGGTCAATATTTAGCCGTAAGGTGCAAACCCAGGTCATCCAGAATCTGATCACATTCATTTAGGTTAGGATCCAAAACGCGACGTGTGACTTAGAAGTCTCCTAGAGAACCCTAGACAGAAGGTAGACCACTTCCCCAGGACACAGCAGTAGTGACATGAGAACTCACAGAGATGGGAAAGCTAGCGTGCCATCAAGGCTTGGCAGTCCTGGTCACCGTGCTTGGTTTCTTAAGACCACCATAGCAAAGTGTCACCGGCTGGAAAGCTTTAAAGAACAGAATTTCTGTTTGCTCAGAGTTTTGGGACCTGGAAGTCTGAATTCAGGGCCTCGGGTTGGCCTCTCCCCTCTGTCTCAACTAGAAGGGAAGACCTTTTTAGCCTCTCAAAGCAATGGCCTTTGTTGATGTCCCCTGGTGTTTGAATCTCTGCCCGTCTCATCTCTGCCCTTGTCGTTTAAAGGGCACTTCTCAGTAAAGGTTAGGATCAGGACCCACCTTTACTCCAGCAGGACTTGGTTAATTTAACTGATAACATTTACAAAAGGAAAAAAACCAGCTACTTTCCCAAGTAAGGTCCTGTTCACTAATAAAAGGACTAGGGTTTCAAGAGATCATTTGGAGGGGGGGAGGGGAAGGGGTCATGTGGGGACACAATTCAGTCCATCACACCACATGGGCACACATGGTGACTGCCCCACCCCTTGTGTCCTAAGGGCCTCAGAGTGGAGCTGGCGGAACCAGCCCAGGGAAGTTGTGCTTGGAGAGAGTACGATGGCAGGAGCGCCAGGTGCACAGGCGAAACTAGCAGGGATGCGTGTGCAGCTGCGGGCTTCCCGAGAAGGGCTTGATTGTCTCGTCGATTGCCTTCCACGTTCTGTGCTTTGGACTCAGATGGCATGGAAGGAAACATGAGCCCGGGGCCGTGGTAAAATGCCAAATGTGGTGCCAAGGCACACAGTGATTTTGTCATTTCAGATGTTTGCATCCTGGGTTTTCTTAAAGCGAGGTACATACTTCCATTGAACGCAGAGCCTTCCTCCTCCCCCGAAACCCTAGACATGCTGCTACACACACTACTGGAAATACCCTGTCCCATTCGTCGACCCCACCTCTCTTCTCTTGTCAGTCCTCTCGCCAGTTGTGAGGAAGGCGGTTCTGACTCAGGGTAGACCTCCCACCCTCACCCCCCTGGGTCAGAATGGGCTGTGCTCCAGGGGGGTTTCCGTGATTGCCAGTAGACTGCCAGGCCCTGTTCCCAAGGTACTTCAGGGTGGAATCAAGCTTCCAGCCATCCAGTTAGAGGCAGAGCATGATAACTCTGTGCGTCTCCGCAGGGAGGTGACATCTCCAGCCTCTGGGCATTTCCCACTTGCCATCTTGGCCTCCTTCTACTGTGGGCAGAGACACAGATGAAGAGGGGTGTCGCAGAATCCATGGAGGGGCTGAGACTTGAGCAGGAACATGCTGGGATGGTGAGACCCACGTAGCGTGTGTGGCTTGCCTGTGGTCTCCTGCAGGTAACTACGGGCTGGAATGATCCACCTCACCTGGGCTGCTGTAGACCCTGACGCAGGAAGTCTGCTTGAGTTTCCCCTCCTGGTCCATCGGTGGATCAAGGAGGTGGTACTTACCATTCTTCTTGCCATTGGGCTTGCCCACGACCAAGAGAAACAAACAAGCAACAAACAAACAAACAAAAATCCCTTATTGCACGAAGTCACGTCCCATATAGGTGGTACAACGTCGAACCTCTCAGAGAGGCGTCTGGGCTGTCATCTTCGCTGTGGCGTTTTGCTAGGCCTTTTTTTCTAGCATCCCATTGGGTGGATTTGAACCACCCACCTTTAGATTAGCAGCTGATGGTTAACTGTTGGCACTATGCTGGGACCTGCTGCCCTGTCCAGCCTGTTCAAACATCCAGGGGGCCTGGCCTCCACCATGACGCTTCTGTGGACCGCTTGGCGGGCAGCCGTGGATCACACAGCCTCTGTGATGTTTGGAGCTCCGAGGAGCTGGGCCGAAGGCAGCATGTGTGCTGTGAGCCCGAAAGCCTGTGGATTGGTAGCTCCTGGAAACGTGATCCAGAATGCTAGCTGCCTGCACTAATCTGCAACGCTGTACTTACTGAGCCTGTGTTCCGTATGTGGCAAGATCCATGGCCTTGAAGTTCGAGCATTTTTGTATGTCATGTGTTCTGGTTTCCTTCCAATGGCCTGGGAGCTCGAACTTAAACACAGCTTCCTTTTGGTTGCCTCTTCCTGTTTGGGAGAGCCTGGCATAATATTTTGTCTTCTGGGCGCCAATAACCATGTAATTACGCTGTAATCATATAGTAATTAGCATGTACTATATGCATTTATTACATAATTATATTCCTGGAGGGCTGTGTGGCAATTATGCTTGCATTCAGCGTATCACTTTATATATACTGTGTAATGAACAAGTATATAATTTGTTGCTGCTTTCTGTTATCCTAATTTCCGTTTACACACCAGGAGCTGGAAACGTAGTCTCCTGCCCCAGTGTCTGCACGTGGTCGGACAGGTGCCTGCTTCTTGGCCTCACTCAAACCAAAAACCAGACTCCCTGCCCACAGCGTCTGTGCCGACTCCTAGCGATGCTAGAGGCCAGGGCAGCCCTGCCCCTGTGGGTGTCTGAGACTGTCACTCTTTATGGGAGTGGAAAGCCTGTCTTTCCCCCGCAGAGCAGTCAGTGCTTTTGAACTGCAGATGGTTCAGATCGCAGCCCTCTCCATCCCAAAGAATGCCAGCTGGTCGTGCCCGGCCCCGACACCCCCTTCCACAGCACTGTTCTCCTAACGCTTTCTCCTTGACCAAGAAGGCCTGCTGTTGTCCGTTTGGGGTAGTTCAGAGCGCCCAGCATCTCCAGCTGAGTGGCAGGCTGACGATGGCTCCACTTTCTCTCCTTTCACAGTGGAGCACATTTCCAAGGGGAACAACTGCCTGGACGCGGCCAAGGCCTGCAACCTGGATGACACGTGCAAGAAGTACAGGTCGGCCTACATCACACCGTGCACCAGCAGCATGTCTAACGAAGTCTGCAACCGCCGCAAGTGCCACAAGGCCCTGCGGCAGTTCTTCGACAAGGTCCCAGCCAAGCACAGCTACGGGATGCTCTTCTGCTCCTGCCGGGACATCGCCTGCACCGAGCGCCGGCGGCAGACCATCGTCCCCGTGTGCTCCTACGAGGAGAGGGAGAAGCCCAACTGCCTGAGCTTGCAGGACTCCTGCAAGACGAATTACATCTGCAGGTAAGCCCGCGCCCCCGTGAGCGGTGGGTGATTAATGAGGGGGCGGCCAGGACAGCCCCAGTGGCTGCTGCACTTACCACGTGACCCTTGTTCGTTCTGAATTTCTACCCAGGTAGAGGCGAGAGGGGGAGGGGCGTTGACTGTAAGGGATTGGCAACAATTGACCTCTGCTGCTGGCATGGGGCTCTTCGTTCAGGCTCTCGGGTCAAAGAAGCATCTGGACCTTTAACACAGAGTGTGCGTCCTGAGCGGCGAAGACGTGGTCACGTAGGACTGCGTTAAGTGAGCACGGGGGTGGGGGCGGGGCGGGCACTTGTGGAAGGCACATGCTCACGCCGCAAACCTAAGAAGCTACGGGGCCTACAGTCAGGGGGCATCGACTGGGGAGGCTGGAGAACCACAACAGGGGGGGTGGGGGTCTAAGGGGAGGACTTGTGTCCAACTCTGACAAGGGGAACTCAGAACGCCTGGCTCTGCTCTGGGCCCCAGTCACCATCTGCCCAGTTAGGCAGAGCTAGCACGTCTTCACTCAGCCATGCTTCTTCTAGATAATTCTGTCTCCGTCAGAAATTCTGCTGAGCCCCGACTGTACTTTTGGAATGCCCCCTTCCTCTTCCTTTGGGGCCATCTATTGATTGTTTTTAATGGTTGGAGTAGTCTGTGACCCATTCTCAGGGTAAAAATAAATTGAGCCACGTAGGATGATGTGGAGTCGAAGACAGGTGCCCTCCTTCGCTCTGCTACCACTGGTCCCCAGTCCCCAGGGGCACAGTCCTGTCTGGTGTGTGACCTTCCAGGACTCGGGTTGGAAGGTCGTTGCTGAGGTGGCAGGTAGGTTTTGGTAAGCAGAGAGGTGCCCTCTCTGGAGGCTGAGGCTGCTTAGGGGTGGGGCTGCGGGGGTCCTGAGCTGCCGATTCTACAGGACACCGAGGGCTGTGGTTCTCAACCTTCCTAATGCCGCGACCTTTTCGTACAGTTTCTCATGTTGTGGTGACCCCACTACCATAAATTTTCATAGCTATGGGTCGCAACCCACAGGTTGAGGATCACTGACCTAGGCCAAAGCCTGTCCTCTGTCCCAGGTTGGGAGCCTGAGAAAGATGGACAAGCCAAGGCAGGTGTGGGTATGCACTTGTTTCCCAGAGTTTCCCAATCTCTCAAGAGCAAAGGGCAGGAAAGATGATCCAATCTTGGCAGCATCAGGAGAGCTGAGTTTCTGGTTCATGCAAATTTTATTCCGGTAGAGTGGGATCCTGTTCTTTCTTTTAATCACCAAAGAGAAATCAAAAGTCTTCCACAGCTACCTGGATCTCCCTGGAACGCTGAGGATTTTCTGGGGCTAACCCATCCCCACCTTTGCTTCTTTTGAAGTTGGAAGCAGGGGGGCTGCTGTTGGACGAACAACATGGACGATCAAGCGAGATGTGAAAGGCACTGGGTCTTTGCAGGAGCCAGATGTTCTAAAGACTCGTTTCCCGGCCGTGTGTCACTGTGACCCTCTCGGCTGGGGACTGGGGCCAGGAGTGCCTGTGCTAGAAGACGCAAAGGAAGGCAGGGCCTCCTCTGAGCTGGTGGTCTGGGGCAGCCAGTCAGCCAGTCCATCCGCGAGTCTCAGGAACTAGGTCCCTACTGAAGATGGAATGGGCACCACTGCGGAGCTGGACCTGGGGAGGAGGGCCACGAATTTTCCTGAGGTGCAAGCAGGTGCGGGCCAGAAAGTTGTGAGCTGTCCTCAGAGACTCCAGAATCTGAAGCCCCTTCTTCAGGGAGAAGGGCTACTTCTTCCTTGGAAAGAACTCAGGCATTCCAGGGGGCTTATTGGCTTAAGACAGGCTCCCCCAGCCCCCACCCCCACTCCCCACCTGTCATCTATTCATTGAGGGGCCGAGTCAGGAGACCTGGGCTTTGGGACCTGTCTGGAGATGGGAAACTCTAACACAAGAAATGGAGCTCCATCCCTCAATGGCTGGGAGGAGAGAGCCCCTGCAGGTGGAACCTTCTCCTCTCCTCCCAGCTTCTCCCCGAGGAGGCCCAGAGCAGGCGTGTCTCCTCCCCAGACAGACTGCAAGGCCATGCTGAGCAGGTGGTTTAGATCACTTAGCCTGCTCTTCGAGACACAGAATCCTTAGAGGGCCGATGTGAACGATTTCAATCAGATTATTTTTGTGCTAAGCTAGAAGGAAAAGGAAAATAAATCTGTCTGGGAAGAAGTAAGACCAGCATGCTCCTTAGACACAATGATGGCGAGACTTCGTCCTACCTACTTTGGACATGTTATAGCAGGAAACCAGTTGCGGGGAAAGAAGAGCCTGCTGGGGAAAGTAGAGGGGCAGTGCCCAAGAGGAAGACCCTCAACGCGATGGACTGACCCAGTGGCTGCAACGATGGCTCAAGCCTGAGAACCATTGGAAGGATGGCGCCAGACCCGGCAGTCTTTCGTTCTCTTGTGCACAGGGTGGAGGCGAGTTGGAGCCAACTTGACAATACCTAACAACGTGGCGATCAATAGGTGGGAGTTTGGGACACTTTGAGAGCTTGCAGATGACAAGACGGTGTGGATGCTGTCTGGGGCCCAAGCGGACATTGTAAGAGGGGCAGGCCTCACAAGCTGTGTGACAACATCTCCTAGACTAGTCGGCCCAGCTGGTGGGGGCAGCAAGACAGACTGGGTCTGTTACTGTGTTTTGTCTGGGCACCAAGGCAGGCTTGGCTGGAAGGTAGGGGTGTTTGTCTCGCTGCTGCATTTCTGAGTCTGGGAGCACTCAGGCTGTTTGAGAATAAACTCTCGCCACCTCATAGGACAGGATAGAACTACCCCTGTGGGTCTCTGAGACTATAACTCTTTACGGGAGCAGAAAACCTCCTCTTTCTCTTGAAGAGCAGCCGGTGGTTTGGAACTGCTGACCTTGCAGTCACCAGCCCCAGGTGTCACCATTCTGCCACCAGGATGCCTTCTGGTTTGGGAGTTTGTGCTCAGTGTGATTGGCGGGTTTCCTGTGCTATCTCGGCTGTTTCCTGGGAAGGCGAGTCAGTGACGTCCCCTGACATTGCCCCATGGTTGTTAGGTTCACAACGCCTTTCCAGAAAGGAGTCTGGCATTTTTAGCCCAGGCTCCCTCTTCTCCACCTCCACTAGGTTGAGTGAATGCGATGTAAGTAGCTAGATTGGCTTGTGGTATTTTCTATCATCAGATTGTATGAATCTCATCTTTAATTGTCTGCCTTCATTTCTGTTCCTGCTCCTCCATCCCTCTGGGTGAGGTAGAGGTTGCCAGGACTGCCCCCTCTCCCCCACCACCACCCCGCCCCCACACACACACAGCTGGGTCGAGAGTGAGAATTTCAGTGGGGTTTGTGTTGTTGCTCTAACCCTTGCCCGTCCCCCACCCCCACCCCAGGCAGAGACCCCAGCTGACAGGATGACAGAAGGCTTAATTTGAAGATCCAATGCCCCCCACCCCCCACCCCACCAAAGGGAAGGGATGACAAGAGGGAGAAGTGCTTCTTCAACACCCCTGCTCCTGAGCCTCCCCCAAGGGCAGGCCTCCGAGGGGTAGGCAGGCAGGAGGGATGGAAAGAGGAAGCCCAGGGAGGAGGCCCGCTGAGTGATGGTACCTTGAAGGGATCACCCTGGATGCATGGAAACAAACTGTGAGTGAATCTTTGAATGGAAAACGGATGATCTGCTCTGCGAACCCCAATCTAATTCACAACCTAAACACAACCGAGCCCATTACCAGACATGCTGTGTCGAGGTCACCCTTAAGCAAACAGACGGCAGCCCTGGTTTTCGGAAGCGCACGCTTGGAGATGCTCCGAGTCTGCCCACTTGCACAGCAGGGACCCTCAGGGAGGTGTTCTGCTCTTGAAAACGGATCAGCTTTTCCAGGTTTGCAGCTCCGGGAACACAGGTTTGTTTCCCCAGGGTCCCCCCTGCCTCGGTGCCAAACCTGCCCCCTCGCCCGCCTGCCGCCTTCAAACAGATGAGCAGTCACTTTAGCTTTTTTTCCTTTCAACTCTGTTTTGCTTTTCGCTCCCCTTTAAAGGAAGCTGGCAGGTTCCTTTCCTCTTGGGGGCCTGGGGAGAGGCGGGAGGCTTGACTGGTGGGCCTCCAGGCTGGTCTGCGAGCTGCTGCGTGGGGGTATCATTACAAGGCTGTGATGGAGTTTCAAAGCCTCACATTCTTTCCCTGAAGCACCGTGGCTCCCAGGCGAGTTTCGCCCTGGCTTCCTCTTTCCTCCATGCAGGCAAGGGTGTCAGGACTGGGCTTGGCTGCTGTGAGAGCAAACCTCCGGATTCCTGAAGCAAAGCGTTATCTGTGTGCGATTTAGATGTGCACCTTGCTCCTTCCCCTCCCAAAGTCTGACATTCAGAAGGAGCTCAGTGCGTGAGCACTGGCTCCCAAGTCCAAACACCAAGCCCACTGCCATCAAGTTGACTCTGAGTCTGGGTGGCTGCTGTTAGGCATTTCATGGCTGGCGTCTTGACCAAAACATGTTGCCCGCCTCTAGGCTAGTCATCAAGTGCAGACCTTTTGTGTCGCTCAGGGCCTGAGCACAAGTTTGGTGTTGTTCGGCGCCATCAAGCTGGTTCCGACCCATAGCGTCCTTATGATTAACAGAACCAGTCACTGCCTGGGGTGGCACCCTCTTCCCAATCCTTCCCAGGCTGGAGCCCAGGGCTGCAGCTATGGTGTCAATCCATCATCTCCTTGAGGGCCTTCCTCTTTGTCACGATCCCTCTACTTTACGAAGATTTCCTTCTCCAGGGACTGGTCTCTCCTGACAAAGTATGTAAGAGGAATTCTTGCCATTTTGTCTCTAAGAATCATTCTGGCTGTACTTCTTCCAAGACAGAGTTGTTTGTCCTTTTAGCAGTCTGTGGTACTTTTGATATTCTTTGCTAGCACCACAATTCAAATGCAGCGATTCTTCTTTGGTCTTCCTTATTTAAGGTTCAGCTCTCACATGCAAGGAGGCAATTGAAAATAGCATGGCTTGC